TCTGACAATATCATTTAGGGTCCCCCACATGACCGTATGAGCGTCGGATGGCGCAAGTCCCCGCACCTCGCTAAGTGTACCCTTCACCAACTCCAAAATTTGTGAAAGTTGGACATCCTTATCTCTACCACCCCCTGGACGAGCTTCATGGTCTCGAGGTCGATCCGCCTGGGGTCGAGGTGGATGGGCTCCATGCCTACTCAGTTGTAACATGCATCTGGGTCGGAACCAATTCATGTAGTCCGGCGAAGTGTCCGCCTCCCCGAGTTCAACTTCAACGGACCTCGACTCCTCGTCCAGACAATACTCCTCCCACCGATCAGAGAATCGTTCGCCGTACGCAACGAAAATTGAGTTCTGGACCGGTCGACCTTTGCTAACTAGAGCTTTGTACATATCTTTTGACATGTATGCACGACCTGGAATGATTTGCACCCAGTTGAACTGCCTCAACACTCTGTCCGGATGATATGCCTCGAAGTGGTCCATGCAACATATCATCCCACTAAACCACGCAGAATCTGGCATCGGGAAACGATCACGAATAGCCGTATACGGTGCCCATAAAACCTAGTAAAATAAATAAAAAACTAGATTTATAAACCTACTTAAGTAGTAATAACAAACTATTAAACTGGTATTTTACCTGATCGGGGATCAAATCATCTAATCGAGATCGCAGGTACGACGCTCGTTCAGGCGTTGAAGTAGTCTTTGACTGAGGCTCCCATCGGCTCGCTAATGGCCCCTCGAATTCCGTCTTCAATGTGCCACCCGCCAAATAAGGAAAGTGCTCGTAAATCCATGACTGAAAGAGCGTCAGCCAGCCAGCCATCGAGTTCGTTGATTTTTGTGAGGCTGAGGAAAGCTCATCGTACAACCGGCAAAGACATGCAGTGCCCCAAGCATACTCGCCGATCCGATCCAAATCAGATACAAGATTTAGATACTCCACGCTTACCATGTTGCCTGTCTTGTCGCACAGTATAGTACACCCGAGCAAAAATAACAAATACGCCCGAATGGCGTATGTCCTCTTCTCCGCACTATCTCTCCTGGTCACTTTGCTAAATTTAGCCTTCAACCATTCCAACTTGACCGCTTTCTTCTTGTTAACATCGTCCGGGTACTCACCTAGCAACTCGAACATCAAACTATTGGGGATTGTTTTGGAATCACGGACCAAACGCTCGCAAGATACGGTACGCCCAACAACTAGCAAACCGACCAACGTACTCACATCGTCAAGTGTGATGGTCATCTCTCCAACAGGTAAGTGAAATGTGTTGGTAGCTGGCTGCCATCTCTCTATGAAGGCTCTAAGTAGATGGCCGTCCACTGTGTTGTACGATGCCTGTACAACTGGCATTAAACCACATCTTTGTACTACCTCTGTAATGAACGGCGCCGGCTCCCAACCTTTCAAAGTTCCTGTGTGATTTCGTATTCGAAATTCTGAGCCGCGCTCCGAACGATCTGGCCCTCCGTTCACAATATGATAAGCAATGTGCTTATCAAATTTTGTGTACAATTCCGGTATCTCGGGACCTCGGACCGGTTCGTTGCTCGAATCACCAACTTCTACAGTCGAAGGTAGAGCCGGCACCGGATTCGTTGACGAAGAACCCTCTCCAGACTTCTTCTTGGTCGTGGTCTTTTTCTTGGTCGTGACTGCTATGCCCTTGCCTCTATCTGATAATTCCTTCCTCTTCTTACGGTTCGAGACAGTCGGAGGTATACGAGGTTCACGTGGTTCTTCCACTGCAAAATAACACACAAATAAAAATTAATATACATAATATAAACACAAGCAAAAAAAAAAAAAAAAAAAATTTCACAGTTCAAATTCGACAGCTTGCTGTCGAAATTTGGAAGAGTTTTCGACAGCAAGCTGTCGAATTTGAATTGAATTTTCGACAGCTACTTGTCGAAAATTCGACCAATTTTCGACAGCTTGCTGTCGAATTACAAAAATTCCAAATTCAACAATGTCACCATTTTCGACATTTACATGTCGATTTTGGATGAATTTTCGACATTAACCTGTCGAAAATTCATCGAAAATCGACATATACAGGTCGAAAATGGTGAACGAAGAACCGACCCACGAATCTCAAATCAATGCTCAAATCGACTGAAATCAGATGCACCCATTACTAATTAACGATCATTCTAACCTAAAACAACCAAATCCTAATTACCCATATCAAACAATCAAATCTTAAATAAATATTAAAGAAAAAAAAATCGAAACAACTATAACTTACTATTCGAAGACGACGACGGCGACGGCTTTGGGCGACGTTGGGCGGCGTTCGGCGGTGTTTGGCGTCGGCGTCCGGCGGCGGCGATGGTTGGAGCGGCGGCGGCGGCGTCGGGCGGCGTGGGAGGGGTGGACGTCCGGCGGGTTTTGTGTTTGAATTTTTTTTTTCTTTTTTTTTTTTATTTGGTTTTCAAATAGGTAATTTCAAAGAAAATTGATGTAATTAGTATTTTGTATGAAAGGGTATTTTTGTACTTTTATTTTTATTTTGGTATTAAAGTAAGAAAAAAATTATAAATATGTACTCAATTGTGGTTTTCAACTTGGTAGTATTCAACTAAGCAAAAATTAGTATTCAAAATAGTTGCCCCCTATATATAATTCAAGATTGATGATGCTAGAATTAGATCACCTTAAATAGATGGAGTATGATGAGTTGGGAGAACAAAGTGGATCACTGGTTCACGTGCTTGATGACCTTGAGATACCTGCGATCATAGAACACGTAAACTTCGCTGGGGTTGATCCGGTGGAAACCCCTCCGACGCTCAAGTTAGGCATATGGATAGCAAAAGTTGGAGAGAGAATACGAACAGTTGTATTGTTCGAATATTGAACGTAGCTTGAGGAATGATTTAAAACATTTATTTATACCTCATTGATTGAGCTGGAATTTAATTAGTAGAGATTGTCGGGTCCAAACATTATTGGAAGGTGATTGAGCCTCGGTGGTAGTCATCTTCAATATTGAGCTCGTGACCAAGTAGATAAAGAAATTATAAGTCCATTGGGTTGCCCGCATATCAAAGATGATTGCGGAATTAAAAGTATATCTGGAATTTGCAAGATATGCAGTTTCAATCCAAACGCCTTCTTCAAATACAATTATCATATGGGTAAAATTGGTATTTTTTACGAGTATTCCGTGAAATAAAAAAAGCTTCTATTAAAATTCACACCATAAGGGTGACAATAAAAGATCGACAACAAATTGCGGGATTTGTTTGTTGTAATTATAAATAAATGAGGAGTTTTTTTGTAAATTAATCTTAGTTCAGGATTTCTCGTAATTGAACCCTACCTAAAGGGGTATTTTTGTACCTAAATAAAACAAAAGAAACATTCCCACTTTTTTCTAATTCTAACATTCCCACATTTTTTGTCCTGCAAGGGATGACCTAGCGGTTGGAGCAAGTGAGCATGTTTCAATTGACCCAAATTCGAATCCCCTTGTCAACGGTCGCTAGATCAAGCTTGTCACACATAGCTAGCCTAATATAGTTTATATCTCTCGTATGGTTTGCAAGCTACTATACGAGAGTGTAGATTTATCCAGTGCACCTATATGATTGGTTGCGGGTTCCTTCTTTACCCAAAAAAAAATCCCTTATAGATTTACCTACAAAATCACTAACAATACCAAAAGCAGACAAAACTAATAGTGAAGCTAAAGCACCTGATTCCTTACCAATACTGAAACAATAACCACAAAGAAAAATACATGCATGCATGTTAATTGAAAAAAAAAAAAAAAAAATCCTCTTTCTAGATAGATAGCTAAGCAATTAATAATTTTGATCAAATGATGAATGCCTCCAAGAACTCAGCATCGTCTTCCATTGCATGCATCGTCTCCGGCGCCAGGCAAGCTTCAACGTCGATTCCACCGCCTTCAGCCGCCGGAAAAGTCGTTATCTTCCCTTTCCCACTTCTCACCGCTAGCGGTTTCCCCCATCCGAAATCGCTGCCGTACACATTGTGCCGAGGCGAACTTGTTATCAATACGTTACTAATAATATTTCCTCAACATTGTTCGTTTCTCAATCCAATCTTCCACAAATTTGATCACTTCCTCTCTATTCTGCTTAGCAACAAACGCGTTGATCTTCAGCCCTGCGTACCCTAACCCATTCTGCAAGAGCTCGGTTTCGCTAATCGAAGTTTTGGCAATGTAAGCTCCGTTCCCAAAGTAGCCATCGGCCAATGGGATTCTTGCTCTTGCACCGATTAGTAGACTGATGCTGCAACCTTCTTCTAGTGATCTAATTTGCGTACGGCAGTTATTGCGAATATTATTACGTGCTATGCTTCGCCATAAGTGAGCACATACAGCTTGTAAAGATGATATTACTATTTCGTCCCTTCCAGCTTCGGAGTTGGCCTTGGCTTTGAGTTTAGCAACACTTTCTTTGCTAAAGTGGAAAACCCTGTGCAGCAAAGGAGGCGACGGCATAACATGGTTTCTTTGCAAGAGAATTTGCTCCAATGGAGGAAGAGGAATATTAATTAATATTACCACCATTGCTAGGAAACCAAGGCTCGAACAGTGGCATTTTCGATATTTTATCGAAGCAAGCGAGATATCTCTGACCAAGAGTTGATGAAATGCCAGAAAGATGTGCCATCTATTACAGCGTGATTTGCCGTGCAGCTTATGAAGAAGCCATCCACAAGCTCTGTCACCTGCACACCCAACAAAGGCTTCGAAATTCCCTCGCAATTTGCGACTCCGTCGAGTGAGAAAAAGGAAGAGACTATTTCAGGTCTGTACTTTCGCTCCAAGATGTCGGAAACACACACTTCACCGGCGACTGCGTGAGTGAACTCAGCACCGGAATTGTTGCAGTCCACGAAGAAACAGGTGGTGGTAGTGTTTTCAACGCTGGTGGTGGTGGTGGCGGCGGCTAGTCGCCGGGTGTAAAAAAGGCTAGTGTGAGCGAGAGCGAGTTCTTGAGGTGGTCAATAATGGTGGTTCTTTGGAGGAGTTGTTGATCATGAGATTGTGCAGGCTTGTGAAATAAGATCTCTTTCTGAATCGGGTCGAGTAGGAGGAATTGCAAATCCCATGGAGTTAGCTCCATTCTCGACATGCCGCCACCTGTATTCATGTCATTGGCTGCCATTGGAACAAGACAAGAAGATTTAACTTCAACTTTTGCCATTGGTTACAAGATTATTACATGAAATACACGATGATGATAATTAAAATACCATTAAAACAAGACCAACCTCGATATTCTTAATAGGAAAAATGTAAGCATCTACTATTTTAATAAATTTAATTAATGCGTTAAACGAAGTGATAAGGGTTGGTGAGGGTACATCTTACGATAATTAATTGAGTATGAATTTTTTGAAACCTTCACAGCTTCACGTTTTGAGATTCTATTGTAATTAAATTTCAAGATATAGTGTTTCGTAGGGTCTTATAATTAAGGGGGCTAATTGAAATATTTTTTAAATAATATAATTTATTTATTTATTTTAGTTGGTTTAGAAATATTAAATGGCGGCTTATATTCAATTCATTTACTTACCATCTATCATATATAAATAATATCTCTAGTGTAACATTTCAAATTAGTAGCAACAACCAGTTCAAGTTATATTTTATTTTCTTTTAATTTAGGAGCAATTTGGACAATTTCATAGTTTTTCTTAGAGTTTTTGAGGATCCGTTATCTCGATGGTGATAGTTTCAATTTCGCAAACATGAGGGGGGTTCTCGTAATCTAGGTATACCTTAGGGGGTTCTCGTAAAATAATCTCGAGGGGATGGCTAAAGGAGATAAAATCATCATGTATAAATTGAAATCACAGTAGCTAAGAAATTTTGGAATGCGCACTTGAAACAGGGGATAGAATCAGCAAGGGGATATACCTGATAGATATGCTTCTGAATCATCTCTAAAGTCTCGTGTGCAACATCATTTCACCTACAGATTGATTAGAGCAACATACGTGGTTATCACAAAAGCACCACTGCCTTTCAGCCTCGATCGTAATTAACAAAATGGTCAAACTTCGTCTAATCATTAAAATCATGATACACGCTTATAACACAGTGTAAATAAACAGGCATGAATCCTGTTATTCAAGCACTACTAACAAATTCTTTCAACCTATGGATAATCTCAGCTAACTGTTAACTGCTGAACTACAATACTCGAGGCTGAAAAAATGATGTTTGATCACAAAAACAGTAATAACTTTTCAACAAAGAATATATATATATATATATATATATATATATATATATATATATATATATGTGTGTGTGTGTGTGTGTGTGTGTGTGTGTGTGTGTGTGTGTGTGTGTGTGTGTGTATGTAAAGTAAGAAAAGTGAAGATGTGAATATCGTAATGGGATTCCTACAGAAAACATTGATACTAATGGACTGATAAAACATTTAAAAAAATGTCTCGATTGTAATTGAAATTTGAATCATTTTGTGCGAATCCCAAATCTAATTAGCTCAACTGATTTCTGCAATGACAAATTAACTTTATAGAGTCAACAGCCAATTAAAGCAGATGAAGAAAATAAGTGTAATCTGGTATCCGATATGATGGTACAGGTTTTAAAAATGCTTGTTCCCACCCTTTTATGGTTTTCTTTCTAGTGAAAGGCCCAAAGCCCATCAGTGCAATAAATTACGGAGAAAAAAAGACTGTGCCAGGTTATTGAGTTACCTGGTTTCACCATGCGAAAATAAACTTTTCCAACCATCGTTTTCTTGTTGATCTGGGGAACAACCTGAATATTTCATGGCTTCGTTTCGGGTGAGTGCAGCGGCATAATTGTTTTGTACTGAGAAAGGCAAAGATTAAGCATCCACGGAGCATCAAGCCTCAAATTGGGAAGCGGCGTTGCTGATTTTAGATCCTTCAGGTGAAATATGTCCGCATCTGCACATGATTATACCCGTTAACTCTCTTAAAAACGGTTTAAATTTGGAAAAGGTGATCACTAAGCTTTAAAGACAATACGGCTTCGTCTCAATGAGTCAAAGAGCCCTTTTAAATGACCCCCAACACAAACAAACTGAGCAATATGTGCCTTCTGAAAAGCACATCTATTCTGTCTTACATGTATACTTTATTTTCAGACAGCTAATGTACTGAAAACACCACATTATGGTTACATATGATAAAACATATGTTTTCATGATCTGGAGGAATGTGCATCAAAGATTTTTAACAGTCATTACAACAATCACTAACCAAAGACTACAGAAAGAAAGCAATAGAACAATTCCCACTGATAGTGGACAAATAAGCTAACATTTATTCTAGAAATGTACGTAATAGAAGATATCAAAATACTACATTTTCTGATGCTGCAATAAGTAAACTTAAGGTTTCAAACAATTTCTTATTGGTTAGAATGTTTCCATCTATACTGGCTTACACATACTTTACTTTCAGAAAACTATGAAGTGAATATGTGGAATGCAACACTATAGGGGTTATGTTATGTCGCGAAATAGAAGAGTGTGCCAAGGATTTTTAACAGTCATACAACAATTATTAACCAAACATTGCTTAGAAAAGCAAGAGAACACTTACCACTTAATCTCTTAAGGTAGATCAACAAACAATTGTTTTGAATTTGGATCCCCAGAATTGCCTGTTCACAAAGCAGTTACACGCCTGGCCATCTTTTCTAGTAATTCATCCACCATAGCTGTGTTTGAATTAGATGCAAAAGCATCTATTAAAGCTTTATAAACGTAAGTATCAGGTAACATCTTCTTCTCTTCCATCTTCTGCAAATAGATCAGCGCAACTTCTGGCTTCTGGCACTTGCAAAGCCCACGAATAAGAGCCATATAAGCAATTCTATTCGGATCACATCCCTTGTGCTCCATTTCAGCCCAAAATTTAAGAGCTTCGTCTGGTTTTCCAACATTGCACAACCCATCTACTAAAGTTGTGTAGGTTACAACATTGGGTTTGTGTTCTTCCTCTATCATCCTCGAAAAATATAGTACAGCCTGATCAGTATTGCCATCTTTGCACCAACCATCAATTAGCAAGTTGTAGGTGATTACTGATGGAACGAGTCCCTTAGCACGGATTTCAGTCAGAATATCCTCAGCTTCTGTTGTCCTTTTGGCCTTACAAAGCCCCTTGATAATAGTGTTGTAAGCAACTACGTCTGGACAAAAACCTCGTCCACAAATTTCTTTGAATAGCTTTAAACCTCGATCCACTTCATTTATATTCAGGAAACCATCAATAGTCGCCGAGTATGCAATCATATCAGGGAGGAAACCTTCTTTTGTCATGTCAGCAAGGAAATCATAGGCTTCAACTGCCTTTCCATGTTCACATAGTTTCTTGACAAGCAGTGTGTAATTTTTTATCCAGGGCACATGCCCAGAAACACGCATCTCCCTTATCAAATCAAGAGATCTTGTGATATTCTCTTGTCTGCATAAGCACCCAAGTATGCAATTGAAGGTGAAATGTGTTGGACGGAATTCTGTCTCCTTCATCTCATTCAGGAGAACGAAGCATTCATCCAACCTATCAGCATTGCTTAAGAAATGGATTAAATTATTGAAAAGTAAAACACTCCTTTTGCAACCATATCGACCCATGTCCTGGAAGAGTTCTAGAGCCATATCTAACTTACCAGCACTGCATAAGCCGTCAATTACAGTTTGAAAACAAGTTGTATTAGGCATTTCATTTATCAGAGATATTGTATCAGCCTGGCAATTTCCATTTATTCTAGATAGGGTACTTGCCTTCAGCAATTGATAAGCCTTTTCGACATAACCACCATTAACAAGACCTGTCAATACAGAATTATACAGCAGCATTCTTTTCTCGACATCCAAATTCATCCAAGTATCTTCAAGCAATTGGATCATGACTCTCTCTTCCGGGACACATAATAAAAGCTGGCATATTATTCGCACATCTGGAGAAATTCCGGATTCCCGCATGTGCATGTACAACACGAGAGCCTTTTCTATCTCCTTAATCTTGCACAATCCTCTAATTAGCACATCATAAACAGAAATATCCGGCAGATATCCAAGTTTTCTCATTTTATAATATAGTTCTAGAGCTTTATCCACTCTGAACTCCCTCACGAACCCATGAATCAAAACACATAACGTCTTCTCGTTCAAGCTAACCTTGAGATTACTCTCAGCCCACTCAATCAACTCAAAAGCCGTATCTACCTCGTTGTACTTGCTATAAGACAGAACTAAAATAGCCAAGATATGCTGATCAACCCATCCCTTATCATTCAGATCATTAAAAACCATAAGAGCCTTATCGAACTTTCCAGCATTGCAGTAGCACTGCAATACTGGAGTCAAGGCATGCTTATCAATAGGCCAACCCAAATTTCTCATCTCATTCAACCTATACTCCAACAAACCAACATCACCGACCTTCGCAATAACCTCCAACAAACAGTTATAGCTGTAGCTATTCAAAACGCAAACTCCAGAAACTTGCACTTGATCAAACAAAGAATTAGCTTCTTCAACTAGACCCTGACTACCTAGACACCTCAGAAAATACCCGAAAGCCCCCGGCGTCCAAAAACTCGAGGAATTCAATAAATTCACAGCAAGATCCCTCAGTGCGGCATTTTGTCGAGCACTTGAGAGGATCCCAGCCATAGCATTGTATGCATAACAGCTGTGCGAGTATCCTTCTTGATTCGAAGCCCAGTTGAAGAAAACATGAGCTAATCTCCAATCCCTGAAAGATTTCAAGACGGTTTCAACTACTTCAGGGGTAAGCTTTGAGCTCAATTCTTGAAGCTCAGGGGATTCTAAACAAAAGGGTCTTTTGTTAAAGGCGGAGATAAGGGATGCTTCAACTGGGCTTATCAAAGCATTGCTGCAAATGTGCTTCCTTTGTACCAAACAAATGCTGTAATTTGTGTTCATACAGATTGTTGAGGTGATTGAACTCTGGTTCTTGAAGAGAAGAATAAACCGCCGAGCCGTTTTAGGGATTCGGGTTACACAAATTGCCATTTGAATCGAACTGAGTGTTCGATTGCGGCGGTAAAAAAAGAATCAGTCAGATTTTTCTCATCAGAATATATAAATTAGTGTTTTGGCAGAGTGTAGTTTGTTTCTCTGCCGTGTTTTCCCCTGCGTAGAAGCTGCACAGCGTTTTCGGTTTTCCTAATGGGAGATTAAGCAAATAAATTCATTATTTATTCACTTAATTTCAGCGAATAAATAAATATAAGGGTAAATAGCACTTAAACCCATGTGGCTACAAGATTTTACAAATGAGCCCCTTATGTTCGTAATATCAGCGCATACACCCCTTATGGTTTAGTGAAGGTAGTCTTCGTTAATTTTTCCGTCAAACTTAACCGCACGTGTTCAAACTTCAAAGTAATTTTTTTTAAATAACCTCCTTGTGCTTACATATTCTCTTCCATTTTTGCAGATGGAACTAGGGGTGTAAACGAGCCGAGCTCGAGCCGAGCTCGCCTCTTTTGGCTGGCTCGAGCTCGAGCTCGAGTTTATTTTGTCGAGCTCGAGCTCGAGCTCGAGCTCGCGAGCTCCTCTTGTTTTGGCTCGAGCTCGAGCTCGTGTCAATTTTGTCGAGCTCGAGCTCGAGCTCGAGCCCATTGTCTTTTTTTTTTTTTTTTTTAATATTTTTTTAATTATTATTTTATTATTAAAAATTATTTAAAAAAATAAAAAATAAAAACAAAATTGTAATTATATATATTTTTAATATTTGTATTTATTTCTATAATATTTTACATTATTATACATTATATAAATAAAAATAACATATAAAAAATAAAAATAAAAATAAAAAAATAATAATAAATCCGACTCGCGAGCCGGCTCGCGAGCTCATGAACAACTGAAAACCAGCTCGAGCTCGGCTCGTCAGAAAGCTCGAGCTCGCGAGCCCGAGTTCGAGCTTTTTACGAGCCGGCTCTTCGAGCTCACGAGTCGGCTCGGCTCGTTTACACCCCTAGATGGAACCCCTTGAAATTTGACACAGGAGGTTAATTTTGACGAAAAAACTAGCAGAAATTACCCCATAAACTACAAGGGGGTTATGTGCTGATATTACGAGCATAATGGGGTCATCTGCAAAAGCTTGTAACCACAGGGGAGTTAAGTGATATTTACCCTAAATGTAATTGTTATTTGCTCAACGGCTCATTCGACCCTTTACCGGGGGATGAACATTGGGTGGGTCTCCAACTCCCCTATGAAATTATTTAGGGATAATTACATTTTTCGTCCTTATACTTTACCACTTATTCGTTTTTTGTCCATAAACAAGTTGGAGTGACATTATTCGTCCCTAATCATGCCATTTTTAGCAGTTTCCGTCATGCCGTTAATTCTTGCAGTTACTTTGGATGGAAATCTGACGTGGACCTGAAAATCTCAATATATGCTGCTTACATGGACGATTAATTCACGTGGCCACTCACATAAATTTATGCTGCTGCTGTTGATATGCTTTGTGAAACCAACTCATATTAACTCAAATTACCATGCATTGGCACCCATCAAAACTCATCTCTAAACTTTGCTAGAGAGAACGAGCCACCATGCATATTCCCAAAATACCCATTTCAACTTTGCAAACGAGCAACCACCATGCAAGAGATCCATTCTCACCTAATTAAGAGGAATTTCTCAGAATTGACTGTGAACGATACAATTGTCGGATGAATAATATTTATTTCGACTTTGCATGAAATTTCCATGTTTAAACTCAAAACATACAGTGAAAAAACCTTTTGCAATCTGTGCGCGTACACGCACTTTAGAATCTATATAATATATAAATTGAAACTCTCATGGTCTAGAATTACGACATGTGTCATCCATGTCACCATCCACGTAGGCATCCTAATCATCTGCCATGTGTCATTACATATTACATATATAATATCTATTTAATTATAACTTTCCATAAAGTGATATTAGATTATATCATTTCCTTAATATCATAATGTCATAAATGACATATTTTATGAGAATTACATATTTCCATAATATAATATATATTATTATGGTAATCATTAATTATGTCATTTAATAATTATTAAAATAAATTAATCATATTTTATGTAAAAGACTTGGTACGTAATATCATATATATATATATATATATATATATATATATATATATATATATATATATATATATATATATATATATATATATATCTTCATAATAAATGACATATTCCGTTATATCATATATATTTTATGGTAATTATTAAATGACATTTTTTTAAATATAATTAATTTGTAAACATCACACTATTTTAGTAACAAGTATTACTCAATCCATAATTTGTTCAATTATTATTCTTACATACTATAATAAAATAGTTTTAATTGTATCAATTTAATGCGTATAATTTATTTCCTTAAAGATATATATTATTTACCTTTTATTACATAAAGCATAAGTATAAATACTTCACTCCACATCCATTATTACCCATTCATATAACAAAGCACAAGACAAGAAAAAAAGGTTTTATACCCAGATTCTATTCTTTTATTTATTGTAGTTAATTTTCAATTTTTTTTTATATATTGTTGTTTATACCCTAATTTTTTTTTTGTATGGTTTTTCGTTCAACTTTTAGGTTAGTAAATGTGTGTTGTCTATGGAACTATAAAGAGTGTGTTGAATCAAGGTAGATGGTGGTATAATGGGTGTGCGAATGAAAAGTGTTACAAAAAAGTTGCACATGATTCTGACAAGTGGTACTGCAAAAATTGCAACAAAAGTTGGACGTCGCCGGAAAAAACGTAAGTTCATATTTAACTAAGTCAACAAGTCGATGTGTTTATTCATAAATCATTTTTTTTATACATGTTCTTTACATTGTTAGGTATTATTACATTAACCAATTTAAATCAGTTATAAAATCGAGATGATCGCGATGGATGACACAAATGTTGCATCATTCATCGCCTTTAGCAAAGAAGTGGAAAAGTTAGTTATTGATATCGGGCTTTAATTCGTATCATGGAAGAAATAGTAAGTAATTAAATCTACCTATAAAATTATAATATATTTTTGCATGTTTATTAAAATACGTGTAG